AATTAGACCTAAAGCCTAGTACACTAGTTGGTGTAAGACATGATTTACAATCAGCCAATACAATTACGAACCACTACATTAGGTCTATAATGTTTACCAGATCTAGATCTAGGTCCTTGCCTGTTGCACATATTGTCAATCTTGCACACCAGTTAATATCTTACATCAATATCATATTTTCTTTTTGTTGAACATACACTTACTTGTACTCTAGGACTTGTATTTGATCTACAGATGAATGATGGAATAATGTAATTTACTTCTGTACGTCAATTCGGTCTCACTGCATTTCAGTGGGCGGCTTTTAAAAATTAAAAGTGCAAGCGTAATACACACAAATAACGTAACACTGTGTCGTATTTACTTAATGTAGGGCAGTTGCGCTATATCCTAGGGGAGGGCATAATTATTAATTAGGCATTATAGGCATTATAAATAGGCATTATAGGCCAGAGGAAATTCTGCGCCCGGGGGCGACTGTCCCACACTTGCCTCCCTCTTGCTACGCCACTGCTTAAAACTACTTGTCTTATAGGGAAATTAATTTCATCAAAGGCTCATTAATAATCGTGTTATTGAGGAATGTTTGTACGTGGTATAGGATTTGTCAAAAACTTTCAAAGAAGTTTCAATATGCTTTCTGTCATTCTCCATCAGCAGGCCCAGCCCATCTCTAATTGAAGATACTCAAATGCCTTTTGTTCTGGACTGTGTTAATTGAGCCTCGCATTATCCTCCACACTGACACATACATTATTCAAATCACTAATCTCATATTATTATAAAGAGAGAGAAAGGGAGAAAAGAAAACAATGGTACTTTCAATGAAAAACAATTTAGGTGTGTAACATATTATGTTTTTGGAAAACCTTGTACCATGTCCATTATTTTCTGCATAAACCTTATGATTCTCATTGTGCCTCTGGTGAAACTTTTCTCCTAAAATAAATAGTTAAGATATTATCGAATACCGGGATTTTACTATTAGTTTTGTAGCACCCACTGCCCGAAAGTTTATATACTTCTTTTTTTATTGTTGTTGTTGCGACAAAGGGACGCGAACCACAAATCTTCGGATTCACAGTCTGAGTATGGTAACCATAGGCCACACTTTGCCTGTTCTACTAAATATTCATCCTGCCAAGAGTAAGACGTGAAGATCTGATTAATATCGTGAATCTGACCATTGCCGGATTAACGATGGGACACGTTCCCCAGGGCCACCCACACTGGGGGGGGGGGGCTCAAACAAAATTCAAACTATTTGTTATAATATATTCACACATATTTTTTATTTAATCAAGATATTTTACACTGAATGATAATTGTTTAAATAATGACGGCAAGTCACGTGAAATTATTTCTAAATTAATCTTTTTGTATTTTCTACAATTTGAATGAAAATTGAACTGTCGAATATTCGATTATTATTTATGTTAGTTGACTGACAAGCGTATGTCAATAGTCTTTCTCAAAAATGGAGCTCATCAAGAATGATCTTTGTTGTACTATGGGGCAGCAAAGACTGGTAATTTTTTTACCATTCTCTTTACTGAAATAAATATCCTGCGAGCACTAAATATGGATGAGATTATATCAAAATTCGCAGCAACCAAAGTCAGAAAACAAATAATCTAATTAATTTGGGAAATTTGAAATATTTTGAACTGTTATTATGTTTTCAATTGTAGTAAATTCAGTATTAAACATTGTATTTATTATTTTAATATATATATATATATATGTGTATGTGTATAGACATTACAAAAATGTAGCACAATATAACAGGGGCCTCCTACAAGTTAAGTGCCCCAGGGCTGCGCCACAACTAAACCTGGCCCTGAATTTGACAATACAATACCGCTAAATGAAGCTTAATTTGGACAAAGCGAGATCGTTTGGTGAGAAAACTTGAGGAACTGGCATCATGACCAAAAGATGCCGGTGCTTAAAAGTATAAAGAGGAGGGGAAGTGTAACGAATTTATTGTTATGTGTTGATTTTTAATATGAACGTTGTTTAGATTAAATTTGTATTTAAAAATATGCGTAACTTATAGTGTCAAATATGTATTGCATGTAACGAATTTGTTATATATTTATTTTAATGACAACATTTGTTGGGATTGAGTTTATATGTAAAAACATACCTAGCTTACAGTGCTAGTTACGTATGGCGAAACTCCCGCTAATTCTCCAAGGTTGTAGAATATTCGTGAACGCAAGAATCGACACTATATCCACTTCCGTGACCTGTTAAATATAGTTCAGTATTGCTGAGAAAATCTTTCCAGCGCCTATAAAAGGTGACGCGCCAAAGACAAAGAGAGAGAGAGAGAGCATATAAGTCTGCTAGGAAGCTGTTATAACCGTGTACACTATAAACTGTGATTTTGCTAACCTTTATCAACCGGAAAATATACGACATTTGACCAGGAACAGTTAGAAATTTCGAACGTCAGTGAATTCTCATCGGACATTAGTGGTCTCATGAAAATATTATCTTACTTCAACGGTCCAACAATTAAGTGTCTGACAAAGCTAGCTAGCTTCTCAGCAATTGTACGTACATCGACTTCAAGATAACTCGTTGGATATCAAAGATACTCTGAACTAAAGAGAAGATTTTGTGTTGTTTGTAAGTTAGTGAAAATTTTTGTTACTTTGCTTGTGGTAACTATTCGTAATAATTGTTGTTGTAAATTGTACTGTTGTATATATATTAAAACGTGTTTGTGTGAAAAACGAAGACGGTGAATATCAGTCTTGTTGGCAAATAGCGTAAATTAACTAAAATATCGGCTTCGGACTATTTTACATTCTCAATAAGTAACAGAGGGACTGATGAAGGGGAGTTAAGGCGTCCTTAATGACCAATGAAATACAGGTAAGACTGTTGTTTGGCCGTTTTGCGTTAGAGAATCTGCCTGATAAGGAGATTTACGGTTTCGATCTTTACCCTTCTTTAGAAAATTCCTAATTTCACAGAACATGTCCAAATATGAGATTTCTATAAATAAATTTTCGAATTATCGTAGGTGTTATTACAAACCGTGTTGAAATATCAGTGTGTCGTGTACATCTAGAAAAACTGTAATATTGGCTAGAAAACGTTAGAAACTATGTGGTTGCTCAGGCTAAGTTACTGTGTTACGGTTTAAAAATGAGGAAAGTTTGCTATGAATCATGCTGAGTTAAAAAAAGAGAGAGAGAGAAAGAGGCAAAACCAAATCGTTATGAATTAGAATTATGGTCACTGATCAGACTACTACAGATCATTTGGAAGATACGAAATGAAAAAGACTTTTTAATTTGGCTCAGCAGTTATTTTATATTTTGCTTAGTCAAAAGTTCATTTGTAAAGATTAAAAGCAACTGGTGATTGTTTAGATTTTCTAAGTTATATATTTATCAAAATTATAAAACGTTACTCGTGGTAAATCAGAATGTCGTCCATTTTGCTGGTAAGTTGTCCATTAATACAATCTTCATTATGTTGTAAGTCATGTTAAAATATAAAACTATTTTTTGTAACATATATATACCATGTTATAATATTGTTTCTTTATAGTGAAAAATTTCGACCAATCAGGAATTTTACTAAAGAAATAAAGACTGAAATCGAGTAGGATTCAAAACCACGACTCGACTCTGCTTGTTAGTCTTTAGCTACCGAGTCTCGAATGCCGGAAGTCTCACCTTCACTTTTTTGATTATTTAGGACACCTTAGCTGTTTTGGTTAGATAATCTGCCAAATAAGCAAATTTACGGGTTCGATCATCCCCGACTCTGTTTTCAGTTCTTTAGAAAATTCCTAATTTAACAGAACATGTCCACCTATAAGATTTCTATAAATAAATTTTCGAATTGTCATAGCTTTTATTACAAAACGTGTCAAATGTTTTAGTTCATCATGTTGTAAGACTTGTAAAAACTTCACAGTGAAGTAATACTAAGAATACAATAAGTTTGTAGCAAGACATTTGGAATAGAAGTACATATTTCAAGGAATGTTTTTCAGTGATAAGTGTAATTTATTATCAATTTCAGTACAACAGCTAAGCCGACCAATGAACAGGCAACAAGATGGAAGTTCAATCAGTTGGATGCAGACAACAATCAGGTGAGATTTGGAAAACTAGACGTATGAAGTAAATTTTCTGTACTACACAGCACACGCATTTCATATCGTGCATAATTTACACTCTACGCCATTCACACGACACACGTGTTCACACTTCCAAGACATTACCACACGCGGTTATGACGTACAGATTTGTTATTCATCCGGATATAATACGATTCATCCAGTAAAAATTTTTACTACATCTTTCTATTATAGATTTTCGATACAATACATCTTAAGTTTGAAGAAAGGAACAGTACTATCACATAATTTGCAGTATTGGTCAAAGGTCTCGAGACCAAAATATCAACACTCAAATTTTCAAGAAAGGTTGCAAAATAAAAATATTGGTTTAGTTTGCATGTTATATTCATTTGGAGTACAGAATTGAAATAACCAGTATTTAGAAGATAATATTCTAATCTTAATAATATGACGACACCAATGGGGCCTGGATGCTGTAATTTTTTTTATTTCCATTTTTGTTATACAGACTCTCAAACTTGCAGTAGATTATTTGGTCTCTTGCTACATTCCTTTAGTCTTAACAATATGAAAATAACAATCTGACCTGTAAATATTTATTTCCATTTTTACTGTATAGTTTCCCAAATTTGCACTAAATTACACCGAACAACAAAAACATTTCTCTGCTACTAGAAAAAACTGCAACTGTTCTGAGTAATTTGACGATGCTGATTATAAAAATCATGTTGAGAATTACTGATCACCTCTAGTTTTCGAGTAATAGTAGGTTTATTCAAAATATTCTTATATGTCGTGCAAATAACTTTTTCTGTAATAACTATATTTATTCATTGAAAATTGCGTTTAAGAATGTTCAAAAAACAATAGATAATAGCAATACCAGTTTAAAAAAGCAATGAGTATAATAAGATTATATACTGAAAATACATCCAGGTTATGTTCAAAACTTTTATCATGGTAATATTTTTTATTACAAAATATCTGCTTGACTTGTTGCGCCTTTTGTATATGTTCTCTGTTTCACGCTGTAAGAACCAACAGTAACCAACCATCATCGCAGGATTCCATTACCTTTGATATAGCTGTTCCATTGTAGAAATATCTTGGTTGAAGCATTCATTGCTCACTGTATCTAGATCATTTGGAAAGAAGTCTAAATGGGAGTGTAAGAATTGCATCTTTAATGACATCCTAGACCCCATTTTCCTGTAGTTCTCGAGCATATCATCAATCATCACAGCATAGTTTCATCTCTGTGATTTACTCAGAAGCCCCAGTGGCACAGCAGTATGTCTGCGGACTTATACTGCTAGAAACAGGGTTTTGATACTCGTGGGGTCAGAGGACAGTTAGCTCTTTGTGTAGCTTTATGCTTAATAACAAGAACAACAAGTGTAGTCAGTAAATTTTGACAACCAGTTTTAATGATTTCCAGACAGCAACTTCTTTCTAATTAGTACTATTTCAAATTCGGCATCCATTAGCACTTCCTGAATCTGCAGTCCAACAAAGATACCTCCTTTCATTTTTGCTTAACTGATTTTTAGAAACTTGTCAAACAGATATCTGAAACCACTACCTTCTTTGTTAATTCATTTTACAAAATTTTTCTTGAGTCCCAGTTAAATATGAAGTGGGGGAGAAACACATTTTGAGGATTCACTAAAGGTTGATACTCGATATTCTGTTTCCTTGATATGTGATTCTCTCTTCCTGGCCATTCCTTCTTTTTGAAATGATTTTTATTATCTCGGTTGTCTCAGAGACACAAAAAGCAACAATGTTTGGTATACCCACTCTGCATGTCTAGCAGGAGTACAGTAACTTTTAGATCACCACATATGTTCCACCCATTATGATCATATTTGATGCCTCAAGTATAATCTGCATACTTTGATAAGCTTCTTTCATGTTCACTTCATGAGCAACAGGAATCGATGGTTTAGTGTTATCATTGTGCCAAAGCACGGCTTTCTGACTAAATTTAGATGAGTCGATAAAGAGTCTGCATTCATGAGAAGAATGTTCAGTACCTAATTCTTTCATTAGTGCATCAATATTTCTACAGAAATACAAAGTATCTTGCATGCTGTAGTAAGAAGTAAGACTTTGATGGTGACGTCAGTAAATTGAAACTCTTGTTTCTGGATCTAATAAATACTGTTGCTGCAAACGAAAGCCAAGAAGTTCCCCATGCTGCTTTGATCTCTATCGTCATGAATCAGATCATTTAGCTCTTCTTGTGTGATCAGATGAGGCAGTTTATGTTGATGTGCCACAGTAATAGAATTTCGAGATGAAGAGGATGAAGGTTATTCATTGTCTTCTTTGCAGGATAACTCTTCTGTTTTCCAATTTGCTGGTGGTAACTCTTCTGTTTTCCAATTTGCTGGTGGATGTGGCACTAGAAGACCATCCCTATGAGGTATTGGTTTCATTGCAGATGCAATATCTGGATACTTAATGTATTGTTTAGTTTTGGCTGAATATCCAGGAACATTAGTAATGCAAAAATAAAGTCAGTTAGATGATCTTTGGGTTCACTCTATATCATGGGAACTGCAAATGGCATACTTGCTCTTTTTTTATTATGCCACTGTGTTAAGCCAGATGTGCAAACTGTACAACACATATGTGGAGCCTGATGTTTTTCTTGGTATCCAATTTTACATCCAAAATAGTGGTAGTAAGGTACCTTTACCTTGTGTGTGATGTTTTTTCTTTGTGAAGCTGTAATATATTTTCCACAAATGTAGCAGAAACTGGTCGTGTGAGTTTTGCACTTTCAGACTTTACTTGAACTGGAGGCAGCCAACATTTCAAATGATTCTCTAAAAAAAAAAAACAACTTATGTTTACAGAACTAGAGTTTAAAAGATTAAAATAAACAAACTTTGCAGAATTTGATTGTATTGCGTGTATGATGTGAGGACAGAGATCGGACTTTGTTTTGACTGTGCGCCGAGCGAGGCGTCTGACTCCGCTCCTTTTATGCTCAGTCAAGGGATTTCTCGAATTTCCTAGCAAACTGAGCACTTTTGGGTTTCGTGATTCCCGGTCGGAACTGGTGAGAGTGGGAATGAAGCAAAAGTGGTGTAATTCGCTGTAATTATATTGAGAACAAGTAGTACATATGAACAATATATTTGGAATTTTACACCACTACAATACAGTTTGAAGTTATCAAAAATGTATGCCTTTTACCCATTAAACTGTTGAAGTAAATTTAATTTCACAGCACAAATTTATTGTACTAAGTTGATTGCATGGTATTTCGCATAGTGCTAATAAAACATTGAGATATTATAATAATTTAAAACGTAGAGGCGATGGACAAATTCTGACTACATTTTTGTAATCGGCACCATCATATTACCCCGAATCACTTGGGTTTTCTCTGGTAGCAAATTTTTGTTGTCAAGTATTATTTGGTCTTTCTTGCAACATTAAGTTTTAACTGTCGCCACAAATTTTTAATTGGATAAGTATCTAGAGAGTGAACTGATCAGCACTTTTCTTCTCATTTTAATCTGCAGGGTAAGATATCTCCAATTATTATCATCTTAAAATTCAGAGCCAAGGCGCCCGCTTAATTTTCATCCACTGAATATTGCGTGACAATCCAGGATATCATAATACTTCTCTTTTTTTTTTAAACCCCGCAAATCTCGTGTGCTGACAGCAAAAGCAAAATAAAAACATCCTCCCACCGTTATAAATGCAACACCATGTTTGACTATTCTGATACCCCCAGTAGCACAGCGGTATGTCTGTTGACATAAAACGCTAGAAACCGAGTTTCGTTGCCCATGGTGGGCAGAGCACAGATAGCTTAACTTCAAACAAACAAATACTATTCTGATAACACAGACACACACACACACACACACTTGCTTAAGCATCTAATGGTCACATTTCTTCTCAAAAAATCAATATTTGATTTTACAGTTCACAGCCCATTGTCTCGTTCGTTCTTCCAATTTTTGTGACCCTTTGTAATCCTTTGCAAAGTGTGAACGCTTAATTCTGTTCACGCGTGAAAAGTAATAGGCTTTTTGCTGCAACTCTTCCATGTAGACCAAGTTTTCAAGCAGTTCTATATCTTATTCTAACTCTAGCTATAACACTAACTAGTTATAGTTAACAACCACTACAACATCTCAAACCACTATAACATTCCATAATAGTTAAAGAACCACTCTATAACAGCCAATAATAGTTAAAAACCACTATAACATAATAATTAAAAAACACTCTATAACATAATAGTCATAAAACACTCTAACAGTCCTTGGCAGACACATTTCTTTTCTATGTGGTTTTTCGCATAAAAAGATGCGCATGCACGTGTACACAGCGTGGTCACAAGTAAATAGACACCACCTTTTCAGAAAAAATGAAATTTTTCAGTCGCATTCACATG